TATTTCTCTCACCAAAGCTCTCCAAAATCTGTATAAAGTCTGTGTCCCTCTCTAGGACGTCTGTAGAGTCTTTTTATAAACCCTAGGCGGCGCTCCCGAAGTCCTACTCCCGTTCAAACTCTGAAAATTCGAGTCTGGGCTTTTTCTGGGTTTTGACTCGGACCGAGTCAGTACTCTGACTCGACCGAGTCAAGACGAGACATAAGGAATTCGGCCCAGCCCAATCTTCTGAAGGAATTCGGCCCAGCCCAATCTTCTGACTCGGGCATGTTGACTCGGGGTATCTGACTCGGACCGAGTCAAGGCGGGAAATTCTTGACTCTTTCATCGTTTTAGCTCCAGATTGCTCCCGTCTTGCTCCAAATCGCATCCGAGACCTGTAATCCTATAAAAACACAACCAAACCGAGTTTCGTGGCCTAACACGCCTATAATGCCTACAAATGCATGTGATCTCCGTATAAATCCTATAAAAACGCCCTGGAGATGTAGAGAGAAATAGGAGTTATCAATGATGATGATGATGATGATGATGATGATGGTGGTGGTGGTGGTGGTGATGATTTGGAGCTTCAGATTATGGATGACTCTTTGTTTTCTGATTCTGTATTCACTTTCAGTGATGGATTAAACATAACAGTTGGTCATGAGTTTGACGATAAGGAAACAACGCAAGAATATGTTCGAAAGGGTGCAGCTATGGCTCGTTTTAGGTATACTACGATGAGGTCTAATAAGAAGTTATGGAAAATAAGATGCAAATTTGCCGGATCCATCTGTAATTGGAGGTTGCTTACGGCATTGATCTTAAACTCGAAGCGTTGGAGTGTAAGAAAACACAATCCCATTCACAGTTGCAAACCCGTTTCAGAATCAAGCAAAAGTATGAGAGGTACAAAAAAATTGGTTAGAGATTATTTGAAGGATGAATTCCCCGGTAAACTTGATAGCACTCCTTCTGCACATGAAATAATAGACCATGTAAAAGCAAAGTATGGCACAACCGTAACATATTTGACGGCGTTACGAGGGAAGCACAAAGCTGAAAGTGAGATTCGAGGTGATCCTGCAGATCATTTTAGAAAGCTTCCTGGATGGTTGTACATGTTGCAGAAGAGAAATCCTGAGACAATTGTAAGTCTTGAGTTAGACACGGATTGCAGAAGCTTCAAATACCTCTTCATTGCATTGGGTGCAACGGTTAAAGGATATAATTACATGCGTAAAGTGGTTGCTATTGATGCAACTTTTTTTACAGGCCAGTACAAGGGTACATTAGTTGTTGCAACCGCACAAGACGGTGACCACCACCAATATCCATTGGCATGAGGTATTATCGATAGAGAAAAAGATGCATCATGGAGGTGGTTTATGGAAAGATTAATAAATGCAATCCCAGATGGGCCTGATGTCGTTGTGATATCTGATCGACATAGAAGTATAATAAAGGCCGTTAGAGAAGTGTACAAAGAAGCTGGTCATGGATTTTGTGCGAGACACATAGCGCAAAATCTGAAAGTTAAGGTTAACAGAGGCATGGGAAGAAAGAGTTCAAGAGGTGAAACTGTCGAAGAAAAGTTTTTCAAATGCGCGGAAGCGTATACGTTGCACGAATTTGAAGAGCGATTTATTGATCTGAAGAATAGGTATGAACTTTCTAACCATTATAAAGAATCGACAAATCAGAAACATGTGACCATGTGACCATGGCACATGGTACCATGTGACCATGGCATATGGTACCATGTGACCATGTTTAAATGGTACCATGGGACCATGGTCACAGGGTACCATGTGATCATGGCACAGGGTACCATGTGATCATGGCACAGGGTACCATGTGATCTCTGACCATGAGTCTTCATTTTTGTAGGTATCCCAAAGTTGCCGAGTATATGCAGAAAGAAGAACTTAATCCTGAGAAATGGGCAAGGTGTAAATTTAAGTGTGAAAGGTACAACTTGTTGACTACAAATGGGGCTGAATCAATCAACTCTGTTTTGAAGAAAGCAAAAAGGTTTCCGGTGCTTGGCGTGCTTGATATATGTCTTTCAAAGACTGTGGAATGGTTCGATCGGCGTCGAGTGGAAGCAAGATGTGCTGATGATTCTCAAAAACTGACATCGCATGTTGACAAAGTGCTACATGAGCGTTACGAGATGGTGTGTACGTATGAGGTAATTGTGTTGAACTCTATTACAGAAGAGTTTGAGGTGACCGGTGGAAAAGGCAGAAAATGCTTGGTCAAAATCAGAGATAGATCGTGCAGTTGTAGAGAGTTTGATATTGATAAGATCCCATGCAGTCACACAGTCGCAGCACTTCACAAGGTTGGGAAAGCAAATATGATACCAGACTTGTGTTCTCCATATTATCTGCGTGAATCATGGAGTCACGCTTATGAAACAACTGTGTATCCAGTCCCCGATTGTTGTGAATGGAGCATCGATGATCTAGATGTTGCAAACTGTGTGGTTTTACCTCCTGTAATGGAAGAGAAACGAAAAAGTGGGAGACCGAAACAAAATCGCTATCCAGGTCCTGGCGAATTACGGAAACAGATCCATGTCATGACAGAGGCATCAACATCAACAATGTGTGAGAATACACTTAATTTTGAATGAAACAAAAGATAAAAATTGTATAATAATGTTATATTATATTCGTTGTACTATGATTATTTGTTTAATTGTATTCCATTTACTTCTGTGTGTATAAATATATTAAAAAACATTAAATAAGTTCATCTCATATGACCACCGATTGTGACCCATTGTGACCAGCATGTGACCAATGTGACCAAAGTCAATTTTGCACTATGTGACCATTGTGACCGGATGTGACCTTTGACCAAGTGACAAAGGTAAATATAGGGTTTAACGTGTATTTTAAAATTTGGTTTGTTATAACAAGGTATAAGGAACATAAATATAGTATTTTTGATAATTTTACAAAACATTATAAGTAGGTTATAATACAAAACCACCAAAAATGTCAAAATCCTTCATAAAAGACTATGAACACTTGTGGAACACATATGGGAAGACTAGTTTTACATGCAAAATTCGTAAGAATCTATTTTAACACTTGAAAACAGTAACAAAGGATTTATGTGGAACATGTGAGAACATTCGTATCGATTCAATTGAAAGAATCGACAAATTCGACCCTTTGACCATGTGTGACCAACTTTGATCCCATGTGACCGAAAAATGTGGGACCCAATATTGAAATTGCGCAATTTTTAGTGGGACTCAATATCATCCAAGTGTTCAGAAATGTTACGGTTGACAATTCAACCCTGGGACCCATCATTTCATTAATTTTTTAAAGCAAATTTTTTTTCCTCTAACATTTTCATGTCAAATTTGTTTCCCTCCAACACTTGTAGAACACATTTTATATCTAGATTTTGTTAACGGTGTAATTAAAGAAATTCAGACATATAATAAACAAAAATCCATAATTAAAAATTCATAACTTAGTATTCTAAAAAAACATAGCAATGTCATATCTAGGTGAAATTAAACATAGTCAGTCCTACTTCTTCTGAACTTGGCCATTTGCAAATATGGAGGTTGCCAACTGCTCACGGATCATGGAGATGTTGGCATCACAAATCATTGGGCACAACGTCTGTTCTTTTCCAAGACATATCGCATCGACATACTTCGCAGCAAAAGCACCGCAGTCACAGCCATTTGCATTCTCAGGTAGTCCCTCCACATAATCTCCAATTCATCGCCATCAGAGAAAGAATCCGACCCAGCAAGGAGACAAGCCTTGGGAATAAGACGACTTAGTTTCTGAACTACACTCTCCACGTTGACCCTTAGTCTCGGTTAACAGTAAAAAACTTGGAGCAATTTCTCATTGAAATCCACCAGAATGGCGTTCCAATGACAACTGATTCGATCGTCTGAAAGGGATGGAATGCTAAGTACACTTACAAAGCCATTTTAAGTGATCAACGGCGTTCCTGCACACCCAATTAGAAGTTTTCCTTTGAAGTACGGCTCAAGATCTCCCAGAGTTGACAAGCCACCTGATTTTCCCCACACTTGATGTGCTCCGTGAAAATAATGTCACAAACCATATAATTGCTTCCTATATAGGTCACCGGATTGTTTATAACGCGGAGTCGTAACTCATACATTGCCTCCTCAATATGCTACAAAAAAACAACAACATATTTCAGAAGTCTGTACCATGTGACTTAATGTAATGGTATCGTGTGACTGAGTCATTTGGTACCATGTGACCAAATTTACATGGTACCATGTGACCAAATTTACATGATACCATGCGATCAGGTGATATGGTACCATGTGATCAAGATACGTGTGACCTTGCTATGTAAGTTAACTTAATGTAAACTTACAGTATCTGTGAGCCATACTCCCAATTGTAGAAGATCTTCCCAAAATTTTGACGTACGTATTCCATCCAATTTTGACTTCCACAATCGTGTCTCTCGTGGCTTCTTCATAAACTCCCCAAGAGCGGTGGCGAGTGGACCGGATGCTTCTACAAATCCTGGATTCCTGATCAGACCTCCACTCGGGTGGACACGCTCTAGATTCTATACAAATACCTTTTCTTCACTCAACGAAAGCAGAATTCCTTTCTCAGTTCTTACCCTAGCAATGTCATCCTCAGAAGCTTCTTCCTCATCATCATCTTCCTCAGGAACATCCTCCTGTGGCGAGTGGACCGGATGCTTCTACAAATCCTGGATTCCTGATCAGACCTCCACTCGGGTGGACACGCTCTAGATTCTATACAAATACCTTTTCTTCACTCAACGAAAGCAGAATTCCTTTCTCAGTTCTTACCCTAGCAATGTCATCCTCAGAAGCTTCTTCCTCATCATCATCTTCCTCAGGAACATCCTCCTGGACAGTTTTGCTTCGACCTCTGCCGCTGCCTCTACCTCTACCTCTGCCTTGGCCTCTGTCTCTGCCTCGACCTCTGCCTCTACCTCGACCTCCTACAGCCTGAGACCGAGTTCTTTTGACCGGTGGACCAGTTGATATTGTTTCTACATAAGGGCTTCTTTTGGATGACCCATCAGTAAGCTTCCTTTTTGTTCTTTTCAACTGCTGTGTATCAGAGGATTCAACTGCTGATGGAGGTTGATTGATTTCATGTTCAACAGGTGGTACCGACATATCTGTGTCTTCATTGGATTTATCAGCTGATTCTTTGTCAGAAGATTCATCGGTTGTCTCACCCTCCTCGGTTCCTTCACCCTCTTCACCATCGGCGTCATCCTCTTCAGTTTCTTCGTCGTTTGCCTCACCCTCATCACTGTTGGGTTTTCCTGGGATCTCAAAAGCGAATCTAATTCCTAAGAGATCAGTTCTAGGGTTTGCGCAGCGGATGAAAAACAAAAATTTTGATGAAACCCTAAAACCTATCATGCATGATCTTGTAGAAACGTTAGAACGCTTACCTCAATCGATCCGGGGCCTGTTTCAATTGATGTGTTCGTCCGATCACTATAGGCAGGAACCCTCTACACGTATCCATACCTCGGGATGGATTCCAACCTTTGGAACTTGTCTGCTAGGACTCGAATCTTCTATTCGATGATGTACTTTGAGAAAACGAGATTTAGATCACTTCTTCAACCCTCTAAACTCTCCAAAAAGGCCTCAAGAAGTTCTATTTTCGGCTCCCTAGTGTTAGGGTTATTAATCTCCTCTTGTTTAAGTGATTAACCCTATATCCGGATTTTAAAATTAAATCTGAAACCCAGACCGAACGGACTGCTCAGTAGTCCGTTCGGTCTGGACACTTGGTCCGTTCGAACCAGTCACATAACTTGGCCCGTTCGGTCTGACGAGTCAGTCCGTTCGGTCCAACACTTGGTCCGTTCGGACTGGACTATCTAGTCCGTTCGGTCCAACAATTTTGGTCCGTTCGGACTAGATGCTCCGGTACGTTCGGTCTACTCCTAGACCGGACGGTCCGGACCTCTGTCCAGATTTATCGACGTTTTCTCGTGCATTTGTCCTTCCATGTGTGTGTGACCCTGTAGGCTCATTCGATATAACAGTATAACCCGAAATCTCTATTACGGATATACAAGTCATAGGCGGTCTCTAGCAAGACACTATGACTACCTATCTCGAATAGAGTTTGTTCGTGATCTTACGAACGCCAATGATGATTCCGGTTGATGATCCTTTTGTATCACGATATCATATGTCGAATATAAGGCATGGACAAGCCACCTTATCTGATTCGACTGCTTTCTCGTTCACTGAGTTCGACTGTCTGAAATAGACGACGTTCGTCTATAGTGCGGCCACACATTTCTACAGTCTTGCTCACACGAGGGGCCCAGCGATATCTCTCTCTTTTACGAGAGGTACAAATCTCGTCTTAACTATCTACAATCCAGCACATGATTCGTTTCGTACCTGATACACGCCTTTATAGTCCTCCTGTTACACAGGACGTTTGACGTAATCAAAGCACGCAACTCCTCATGTTGGATTCCGTAGATATCTCAGGTCTTAGGATCCAATCATGGAACCCATCAAAGGACTTGTCGTAACTCTTTCTTTCGCAACATGAATTTTTCTGAGGTTCTCTTGCACTATACACTTGGGCGTCGCTGTGGACCTGGGCGTGGATATGTCCTTATCCACCGGATTCTGTCACCGGGTTCTCCTGCACTGTGGGACTTAGGACAAATCCCTCTTTTCCAAGGAGTCCAACCTAGTTTAAAAGCCCTCTCACAGCATTGATGATTCTCATCTCGTATGCTTTAATTTCGACCCTAAAATCGGTCTTCAATTCGGTCTTCAGTGCTTCGAGACTTGACACTCCGTGAACTCTTTGTGCTCCCTTTTGTATCCCTTGTTGTGGTATGAATCTTTGTTGCGGTTGCTGTCGTTGTTGTGGTTCTTGTTCTTGTTCTTCTTCTTCTACTTCTCGTCCCTCATCTTCTATTTCATCTTCATCTACCAAACTTTTCCCCTTCTTCTTTTTCTTTGAAGAATTCCTGGAACGAATTTCCATTTCATGGATTTTTTTCCAGTATACGCTCTCCGGATTCCTCTCAAGATATTGCTTCCATACTTTAACCGTTGGATCTTCACTTCCATCGAGATCCTCTACATCAAAAAGAAGAGCTTCTTCTGTCGGTTCCTTCTTAAGAATGCTCTTAATTCCCTGAAAAATAGATGAGACTTATTGTTACTATATGCATCATGTCACAATGTGACTGAGTCACATGGTCCCATGTGACCGAGTTACACGGTACCATGGGACCGAGTTAAATAGTACCATGTGACCAAATAGGTTATGGTATCATGTGACCGAGGTACATGGTACCATGTGACCGAGGTACATGGTACCATGTGACCAGGATTCATGGTACCATGTGACCATGAAACCTGTGACCAATACACCATGTCCTATTTTATGCGTACCTTTGTTTTAGTGTCAATCTGGTCTATAACAGTATTGAAACTCCATCTGACATTTGCTTTGACGGATTTCTTGCACATTCTGGGACACGTCGGATCCGCTCCCTCGATGTCTTTGTACATCCCATTGGCACCCAAATTTGAGATGCATTCGAAAGGAAGCAACCGTACCATATTGTATAAATATTAAATTCTAAAACAAATCAATATAATAACGGTACTTTTCATTTATACACATAGTAAAAAACCCTTACCATAAGAGGGATTATAAACCCCCGACAATGTCATTTCTTCTTCGGTCCTCCACTTCCGAAACTCTTTCTAACTTGATCAATTATTCTATCAAATGTGTACCGTCCCCATGGAAATCTCTCACAGAAAGCCAAATCATCCACCATGTCCACCAAATCATGGTTTATAAACTCATATGTGGTGTCATGATCTAGTATTCCTCCGAGCAACATGATAATAGCCAGTTTCTTCCTATCAGCAACCCTTTGAGTTGGCTTCTTCTCAAGATGCCTTATCACACTCTCCTTAGACACCTTTCGATTTCCAAAAGTCTTCATTCTAAACTGGCTTTTCCTCATATATTCCCATCCAGCCGGATACTCACCGCATTTCAATCCGGATATGAGAGCGTGTTCAAGGATGGAGTATCTAATGGGCACACCATTTAGAACAAACCATAATTCATTTTCATCCTCCACAGTGACACAATGGTTTATCAGGAATGCTGTTGGAGCCATCTTCAGCGTGCCATCAAGTTGCATGTGAAACAAATGTTGAAACTGCGACTCATGACTGAAATACCTCCATTCTTCAGGGCTTAACAAATCTTTCAGTTTTTTTATTGTCTTCGACGGGTAACACTTGGTATTTATCTTAGGAGAGAACTGAATGTCTTCCATTTTGTACATAAACGGCAACTGCACAACAATAAAATAGATCAGATCATGTGACCTGTGACAATGTGAAATAGTACCATGTGACCTATTCTCCTGTGACCTATGACCAATTGTCCTGGTACCATGTGACCTATTGTCATGTGAACCTGCGACCATGTGACATAGTACCATGTGACCTATTCTCCTGTGACCTATTGTCTTGGTACCACGTGACCAATTCTCATGTGACCTATTGCACGGGTATCATGTGACCTATTGTCCTGTGAACTATGACCAAGTCACCTATCACCACCTGACCGAACCCATCTTGTGACCTAATTTACATCGAACCCTATCACCTATATCATTGTGACCCAAATCAACATATCATTCATCATCCAAACATCGAACCACACATCCCGTCACCTATATCACTGTGACCCAAATCTACAAATCATTTCGATCTTAACTACTTCAAACCAAAGATTATAATGTTATCCCTAAAATTTCAAATACAAAACCCTAGATTTCTGTCATTTCAAATCATCACGGAAAAACATCAAGGAAACATAAAAACTTTCAAAATCGTGCAAATCTGAGAAAAAGAGAAGTAACCTACCATGTGCTCGTTTAACTCCGCAATTTGGATTCGAGAATCGGTCTCGTTCGAAGATGCTAACGAAGATGAGTGAACCACTGATGTAGAAGCCATTTTTTTCCTTCTTTTTACTTCGAATCTGAGGAGAGTAAAGATAGAGACTTAGGAGAGGAAAATCGCGGTTTAAATCGACGGTTTTTTGGCACAAAACTGACGGTTTCGAAAGAGAGACGGATGAGATGTCGAGAATTAGGAGAGAGAGAGAAATGTCGACAGTGAGGAGAGAAAGGCAGAATGTGGACTGATGTAGGAGAGAGAAAGAGAAAACCGTTTTTTAATTTAAATTTTCATTTGGTTTTTTCGTCTTTTAATTAAAGTTTGAGGGTATAATTGGTCTTTGCATCCCTTCTGTCCATTTTTTTTAATTTGAATTTTCAAGGGTATGTTAAGAAGTCTTTGTAGCAGTTAAGGGTAGATTGGATATATCCCCTTGTGAGCGAATAGAAAGAGTGAAAACTAGGGGTGGGCACGGGTCGGGTATCCCCAATTTTTAGAAAACCCTGTCTCGTCTTCATTACCACGGGTTTTACAAAAATATTATCTCAGTCTTGGCTTCATAAAATCCGGGTACTTGTAGCTCGGGTTTAATGAGATTCTCGGTCTTGTATTCGCGGATACCCGAACCCATACGATTTATAAAATTTTGAACTATAAAATAATAGATATAGAAAATACAAATGAGAGAGGTCAAAGTATAAAGAGAAAAATTCACGATGAAGAGAGATGAGTAAAATTTTGAGAGAGAGATGAATGTTTGATTCGGTTACATAGAATGAGATTTAGAATGAGATTTAGAATGATGAAATTTTTGTATAGAAAGGTTTAGAACATAAAAAAATTGAACTAAAATAAAAGTATTTTAATAAATAATAAGAATAATTTAGACAAAAATATTATAGATATAAAGTATATTTTAGATTTTTAACAAATATAACGGATACCTCGGGTATCCCTTATAAAATAATTGAACCCCCACTCGGACTTGGGAGTCGAAAACTTAGTCTTATTAATACTCGATCTCATCATCGTTAATAATCGGATACCCTTTATTCGGATACTTGTTAAGTCGGGTACCTCCAAATCCCAGGTTACGGGTTAAAACGCCAACCCCTATCCTAAACCTCATAATAAATGGTGGCCGAATGGAGGAAACTGCTCTGTTTGTAATAATTATGAAAACATTGAAATATAAAATAAAATAAATGAAATAAGATTGTGGTGGGGTCCATGAGCTCTCAGCCTCAAAAATATCTTGGAGCTCATGGTTCAAGTTTAGCCATGTAACAAAAACATAAATTTTTAGGTGTTTGTTTCGTTATTAGAATCTTTTACAAATTTATATATAATTAACACCATGTGACATTATTGATTTGAATATACTACAGAAAAACAATAAAAATGCAAATTGTGTTTCCTCTTATACAATTGCTTGAATATCATTAAACATCGTTCCTGAATCCTTATATCATTTTTTTCCCTATTATAACGATAATATTTTTTTCGATTGGAATTATAACGATAACATTTCATAATTTAGCCATATTTATGTCATCCTAGATTTACCCATACAAAGGCAAAGATAATAATAATAATAACGCATAGCATCTGGTTCCGCTTCGCCTCCCCAGACGCCATTTTCCCATTTACATCATACAATTATCAAAACAACCCCCCCAAAAAAAAAGCCACGTCAGCATCTCCAGTCCAACCGGACCTCGCCGGGACCGGCGACGAGTTGACTCGGTTTTCGGAAGGAGACGATGTGGCTAGAGACCATGAACGCGGTGACTCGCTCGGAGACTCGGATGTCGTCCATCTTGAGCTCGTGGAGCCTCCGGACGTACTCGGGAACGTGGAGGAGGTCCCACACCACGCATAATCCGCCGGGTTTAAGGACTCGAACCATCTCGCCGAGCACTCTCATCCGCTCGGCCGCCGCCTCCACCGTCCGTTTGCCGTGTTCCTTCCCGACCGTATGGACGAACACCGACGACACCACCACGTCAAAGTAGTTGTCCCCGAACGGCAGTGTCCTCACGTCCCCTGAACGGCACGTCACGTACTCTTGCACTCCTGATCATCAAAAACCGCATCATTTTGTTGATCAATGGCCACAATTCGATGAGTTTAACGAGTCAATGGATGGCTAAGCCATCAATGTTTTTCTGATATCAGATCGGTACGATTGAAGTGATTAGATATGTTGATGGAGGGATTTGATGGTGTACCTTCGAGTTTGGCGGTGCGGAGAGTGGAGAGAGTGGTGCGTTTCGAGCGATCCAAACCAACGACTCGACCAGAACTTCCGGTCTTCTTGAGCTGCGTCGCCACCGCATTGAGAAGGATACCGCGGCCGCAGCCGAGATCGAGAGCCGTCTTCACGGTCGACCAATCGCCGACCGATCCCAGCATCCTCTGAGCCATCTCGTAGTGTAGCGGCACGTCGGAGTACACGAAGTTCGCGGCGGCGAAAAGCAGGCACACGGCCGAGAGAGCCGTGACGGTGCCGGTGAATCCGGCGGCCAGTCTCGCCGCACCTCCACCGCCGAGGAAGAAGGAATCGAGGAAGAGGGATATCTGATCGAAGTAGAGGAGGAAGAGGACAGAGAGGACGGAGAAGAAGAAGGCGTGGAAGAGGAGGAAGACGAGCGTCTGCCATTGTTCCATGCCGTATATCGCGTAGATCTGAGTCCAATCTCTGTTTCCCGTAGCTTTCCCCATCGATTTCTCCGCAGATATCCCGATTCTGATTGCAGGATTCGAAAATTTTTCTGGAAAACAAAACCAGATCGATCAGTTCACCAGCTCGAATTTCCAAATTTCAAGCTGAACAGAACAACACTAAGAATAGATAAGAGCCAAAACGAGTGAGGATGCATTACCAATAGCAGAAATTGGAGAAGCGGAGAGTGAAAAAGAGCTGATTTCTCGCCGATTTTCTAGGGAAACAAACAAGACCCAGGAGTTCAAATCTCAGCATCTAAATTCAAAATCCCATGAGATCGAGAGAAGAATACATCAATTCCTGTGGAGAAGCTTAGAATGATGATTTGATGCAGGAGAAAAGGAACACCATCAGCATCGCCGCCATGGGAGTGAAGAAGCATTAGTAGCAGTACATATACGAAGACGAAGGCAAAGGAATGATGAAAATGGAGCTTTTCTCGCTTTATTGTAATGCCGTTTTCACGCGCTTTGCTTTCACTCGGTTTTCTCAAAAACCACTGATTTTTTATTTTAAAATTATAAAACAAAAAAAGGAAAATAAATCGCTAATTAAATAATATCGTAACAATAAATAAATTTTTAATGTTTTATTCTCTACGCGAATCAATTCCTTAACGTGTTTACACGAGATTCAAATGAAACTCTAACATTTAGTTGATCCATAAATCTCTCATATATTCATTGTAACAGTAATATAAATTATTAATAAATTTAATAGATATTAAAAGATCGGATATTATTTTTTAAAAAAGGCTCGGTCATGTGTACGGATCCTGAATGTAGGGTGTAAAGCAGAAGCGCGTTGAGAAAGTCTATCTTCCCGATAATGTTTCAGAAAAAATAATAATAGATAATGTTTTTTAAATTAATTTATTGTTTATTATTTCTTTTATCCTCTTTTTATTTTCTATATTGTATTTTTTAAAATCTGATGTCAGTGTGAGAGTTTTTGGACTGGATAGAATCATGTGGTCTCATGCATGCACTGTGTTTTTAGATATTTCATATTTGTACTGTGAAAATATTTTAGAAAATGTTATATATATATATATATAGCTGATTACAGATATCTCTCATATATATATATATATATATAAACACATTACTTTCTTTTGTCTCCGGTCAATTCGACTTTAGACTTTAAAAAGAAGTTTAAGCAAGTTTTAATTTCTCAATTTTCATATATTGAAAACACTTTAGGAGAAAATAAAGTTCATATGGGAAATAACTACAATCTAAATACTGACCAGTATATCATCACCATAAATTCAGAATCATGAAATAACAACTATACTATTTAAAGTAATAGTATAATTAAAAAATTATTATTATTAGCAGAATATATCTCTTATAGATTAAAATTCATTTCTCTTTCTTTGCATGAAACTTTTATTTATTTATCTATGAAAATTTTACATATATATTCAAAAGTAATTTTGTGTATTTTACATGGAAAATTCTATTTAAGATTTTTCATGGTTCGCGCAAATCATGGAGCTTGAAACTCAAATCACTTGTTAGATTTGTTTTTAACTTGGAATCTAATCCACCGACACCGACACCGACACGTGTACCATAATTTTGCTTAAAATCCAAGATTGGTTCAAACTCTGCGCTTTAATTCAAATCCTGGGTTGCTTCATTTTCAAAACGGAACCATGAAAAATCTAATTATTTAATTCTTAATTAATAAATTAACATTTATTCTACAATTCTTTTTTTTTTTTTGATAATATGTGATTTGCCAAGAGTGGGGTTCGAATATAGGTGGAGCACTCTTTGCGCATATCCACTTACTAGTTGAGCCAACCACTCTTGGCTATTCTACAATTCCTTGCAAAAATTGTTTAAAACTTAAGGCGAGGTGAAAATTTTGAGTTTTCTTAACTTTAACAAGTTCAAAATATTATTTTAACCAAATCGCCCAAACAAAATGAACGATTGATATTATACATATATAAAGACGTTTTTGTAAATTATGAAAAAAATATAGTACTAGAATTTATTCTATTAACAATACTAATAACAAAAATAATGGTTTTTAAAATTTGTTATTTTCGTATAAAATACAGGGGGCATTATCCAAAATACCCTTCTTATGCTAAAACTACTTCTGCACTTACCCTTCTCTAGTTGTGACATTGTGACCAGAATTCATGTATGGTCACATGATGGTCACATTGGTTATAACATTAAATTTATGGTGATTACATCAAATCACCATGTTCACACCTTACATATCTCACTAATCATTTGGTAAAATCATCAAAAATCTAACGTTGTGACCAATGTGACCATCATGTGACTATACAATTATTCTGGTCACAAGGTCACAACTGGAGAAAGGTAGGTGCAGAAGTAGTTTTAGTATAAGAAGGGTATTTTGAATATTTTGCCAAAATACAAATTGAGATTTTAGTATAAACGAGAGTAAATGATTGGATTTTATGTCCAAAAGACTTAAAATGGACCACAGAACACATGCATGTTTACTATTAATACGAGGAAATAAATATTTTTGTGCATATTAAAAATCAATATATATATATATATATATATGTATGTATGTATGTATATGATAGGGTTGTGTACGTAATCATATAAGCGTGTGTGTATATATATAGTTAGAAGACTGGACAAGAGTGCCCACATTCACAACTGTGCTCCACCGTGGAACATCGTTTTCGCTCCCCCGATTTCAAACCAAATGACGCCACTCTCTTTTGCAACTTGACTACTTTTCCATCTTCTTATCCTTTTATTCAAACTTTTTTTTAATGATAAATTCACACGATCCGTATATATGTTAAATGTTAAATCTAAATATGAGATATCGAAGATTCAAATGGATAGAGACGAAACTATCTTAGATGATGAAATAATACAATTTAATTGTAACAATGATGTCTTTCGGTTTATGTGGATATAATTGAGTCCAAAATCCATTAAACCAAACTGAATACAAAAAAAAAAAAAAGTATACAAAACATGTTTATAAATACAGATTATTCTAAATTGATATCTGAATTTTAATTTAAAAATTAGATTTTATCGTTGTAATATTCAATACTCATTTTCTAGATATCAAAATTATAGAGTAGATTGGAAGTTGGAAAATACAAACGGTGTATGTACCCTTTTTAATTTCCATGGTTGTAAATATTTTCGAGCCAAATCCTGAAAATAATTTCTTTTTTAACGAATATTTTATGTAACAAGGAAGAGAGAACAATGTCTTGCTAATGGGTGACAACATCTCCATTATTTCGACGATTGCTCGCACTAAAATTTGCTTTAACGTAAATTACGAGTATAAGATTTTGTATTAAATTATTTATTGCTATCACATAAATTATTTTGTGTTGTGATAATATTTTAGCCCGCAAGTACGAGTACGAGTATTATTGTAATGAATGAATATCACTTGTCTTCCATTTAAGAAATGCTAAAAAATTATTATAAATTTGAAGTCAAGGGAGGCACCGACGAAACAAATGACTAAAATAACATTGGAAATTATGAGGAAAATATGCCTCTATCGTTCAAAGAATCCCCCCCCCCCTTTTTTTATTAGAGAGTATCACAAAAAAAATGCACTTTTGAAATTTTGTGTAGATTTATACGAAAAAATTTCAAAGTTTGTGTGTTTTTATACAAAATAAAAAATGTATATATTTATTTGACAATTTTAATTTTTTTTTTGCTATACTCCCTAAAGATATTATTTCGGTGAAGAAGGAAATCTTAGTTTCATAAAAATACCGAAATAATCGATATACGATTTTTATTGTATACAACATAAAATTCAAACAATTCATGTTTTTTTCTTCAAACAAAACAAATCCAATATTTTCTGAAAATATTTCTCACCATGTTTTCGGTCTAACCGATATAATGAGAATCACATTTAAGTTCAAAGCATGTTTCCTCCCTCTAATCAACCTCATCTCTCATAATCTTCAATTGATAATATTATTGATATCCTCTTTCAAAATACATAAATATTAGCACCAACAAACATCATTACGCGTTAGTAGCTTTAATCATGTGACTATCTTTATATGCTTTAATATATATATATATATATATATAAATATAATATTAAACATTACATAATAATAATAAAAGAGAAAGAGAGATAAATTAATAAGGGAAAAAATAATAAAATATGACCATAAATTTGAGGAAGGGAAAAGGATGTGAGTGGGTAGAGACAGGACGCATAGTCACCGGCTTTTATTAAATGACAACCCTAATGCTTTTCATTCAGATTTTTCAAAGTCGTTGGTTGGTCCAATTTAATGATTTTTCAAAATTTTAAATGAATTTATATTCTGATTATATTAATAGGAAAACTAAAACAAAAATATTCAAAGTTAAGCGAACAGGAGAAATGCAATCTTACCGTCTCTCTTTCTACATTTCAGCAATTTTTAGTTGTAATTAATTTTTTAAATGTTAATACGTAATATTTTAACGTACCATCCTAATATTGCGATATATTAACGTCTTAATTGTTTCAATATAGACTCATTCAGGTATAAATATTGATTTAAATAAATTAATTTGGATGTATATCGATATTTTGTAATAAAACTACAAACATGAAATTGGGGAGACAAATGAGTGCCGGCGGCCACGTTGTCTCATATATGAAACATGATAAACAATATTTATTTAATATTACTAATTTATCAACCTAACTGGTCAACTTAACTTTTTGTTATTAAATCTGAAACACTATTATTATATAATGAGACAAAAAAAATGTTACACCATATGTAAAGATTGAGCTTGCTCAAGGAATCCGTAACTTCTTATTTTTTATATTTCTCCCTTAAATTTGTGTTATTTAAAAACAACACCCAAATTTCAAAACATTCTCCCCACCAAAATTTCAAAGGTTTCCGAATTAAAAAATAATAATTCTTTATCTGTTTCTGATCTTGACAATTTAAATCTGATTTAAACTTTGAGATGACCGAAGTAAAATCCTAATCCAGATTTATATATTTTTTTAATCTCTCCTTCTAGTTATTTTGTGTTAAAAACTAAATTTATCACACTATTCTATTTAAATTTATTTATTATTATTTTTTTGTAATGGTAAATTCATTCATATCAATCTATACAAAGTCATGGTTATCGCTTATAGCTTAGATCGGTAGTTAGATCGGTAGGTAGTGGTGTAATAAATGTTCGGCCTTTACAAGGAGTCAAATTGGTGAAACCAGATAGTGAGGAGGCTTTCATTGCCGATTACAAAATCTTTTCCTTGTCTGAGGGAAGAGATTCTACGTCTTGTTATACGTTTGATTTTCTTCTGCAGTGTTGCCGCCGGTTTGGTTTCCGCCCCGTGGATTCTAGCGTTTCGCTGGCCCCAGATATTATAAATTGTTGCTTGAAATAGTAGGAGCAGCATGTACCTGAGGATCTTGCAGTCCGCATAC